GGTATATAACGATTTATTTTAAAATATAGCGATTATATATTTTTTTAATTACGGAGTTAAAGTATAAGTAAAGTATTAGATCGTAACGTTTACGGGCTATTTTTAGCCTTTAGTATTAGCTAGGGTTTTTTTAAATCGGGGTAAAAATATTATAAACTTTTTACCCTTTTTTATAATTATCGTTAATAGTTCGTTAAGGGCGTTTTTAGTTTAATAAAGGTCGCTATATACTTATAAAAGGTATATAAAGAGTTCGTTAGACCCTCGTTTTTTATTTTTTTTTCTTTTATAATAGAACTAATTTATTATTTTTTAAACCCGAAGGGTAAAGTATAAAAAAATAAAGTATCTCCGTTCTTTATTAATATAGTAAAATAGTATATTAATAATAAGCTTATTATATATCTAGGCTTTTTAAATATTATATTCGTTTTTATTACCTAAGAACTTTACTAAGTCCGGTAGGGGCTTTTTATAAGGGGCTCTATTATTAAAGGGCGCTTTTAAATTAATAAGGGTTTTATAAAGGTCGGGTTTTTTAATAAAAAGCGCGGGGGGTCCGTTTATTTATTAAAACTATTCCTATAATAATTATAAAATCTTATTAAACTTTTTATATTCGCGCTTTTATTTTACTATATTTACCGTTTTTTTTATTTTACCCTATCTCTAAGTTTTTATTAGTTTTTATAAACCCTAAATAATCTATTTTTAGGTTTACATTATAGTTTTTATTAACTAGGCACTTAGCGGTACGTTAATAATTATATTCGTTTTTATTATATAATATAATTAATAATAAAATAAATAAAAAAAGGAGTTTAGATATATTAAAAGTTTAGTTTATATAAGTCTATATTAAAGGGATTTTAGTATATAGAATTTAAATTAAAGAATAAAGGTTTTTAAAGCGGAGGTTCTATAGAAGTTCTATAAAAGAAAAGCGCTTAAATAGGACCTTTATAGAAGCGGCGTAATAAACCGTAGTAATATCCGGGCTAAGGCTCGGATCTACTAATCGGGTCTAGCCCGTAATAGCGGTAAACTGATAATACTTACTACTAGGATATATTATAAGGAAACTAGCATAAGATAGTAAATATTAATTTAAATATTGTGATATAGATAGAAAATCTACGTTGACATACAACTGTTTAGGAAAGATCTTCCTAAATCTGAAAATACCTACGTAAGCCGAAGCTGCGTTCTCCTTTCAGCAGAATCACCGAGCGGTAAAGGCACTGTTTACGTACAAAGAGCTTCGCAGTTGGCCGGAGATGAAGAAATGCAAGTCTGAACCCGAAGGGCATTTTACGAACGTAAGCTAAGGCGACTGCTCGGTTTTTATAATTAGAAGCAATCTTACTTATCTCAACTAGGCGTTATCTGTCCACGATTTACTCTACTAGACGTGTTCACCCTTTGCCCCACGAGCCTCTCCGAGTTTGCCAATACGCTTTACTCACTCCTATCATCCAAACGCTTTTTAACGAGGGTCATACGTCGCTTTGTAAGGTTGAATCTGGACTTAGCCCCTTGCCGCAAGCTTTATCATGTCGTTTCCTGATACCACTGTTAGAGCCAGAATCATCAAATTCTGGAAGCCAACTGAGGATGCGTCAGTTATGCGGATGAAAGGTAACCACTCAGCATTGAATATGGGCATGGCCGGAATTATTCGAGACCCGGCCAAAGAGATAAAAGGCCGCTATCTAGACTTTGAAGCTTAGGGTTGGGATAACACTCGCTGGGGACTTTATTGCAACCCAGAAAAGTTCATGGACCCTGTCATCGTTTCCGAAGGGTTCCTGGAGACAGGCCCTCCCTTGGCGCCATGTTCCTGTAAGGAACTTGCGAGGTCGGCCCCGGTTGCGGAGGCCGACGGCAGTATCGAGATGCCGTTTCAACGCCTTCTCGTCACATTCTTCGAGTCGTGTAAAATTCGTCATGATGACCTAAGTCGTGTCGGGGTGAGTCTTCATCAGCTTGACATGTTGAATGAGCCGAAGAAAATCGAGAGCATCGCGGAAAAAATGGTTCAAGGTCAGTAGACGAAGTAATTTGGGATGAGAATCTAAGATGTTGAGAGTAACACTAGGTTTCGAGAAGGTGGGAACTCTTGATTTGTTTCGAAATGGAATGCCCAGCCTCAAGGAGATCATATCGAGGGCTACCGAGGTCGATAGACTCCCTAATAAGGAGAGAAACAACTTAGACAACGAGCATGCACTCTACATCAATGTCTACCACGGGAATGGCGACTCTTCTTCGGAAAATTTCAGAGCCCATTGCTTCTGGAAGATGAGCACGAAGGGAACCGAATACGTGAACAGCCAACGACAGAAGATCGAGTCCACAATGACATCCCGTTATTCAGTCAATCATTCCGAGTATATAAAGAGCTTCCTAAAGAAACACAAGGGAAAGTGGACCATCTATCCCATCGCCAAGATGGAGAAGCCTGACCCCTCTGACGGCCCATCATGGCAAACTTGGGCAGAACAGGCAATAATCTCTCTATACGATGCTTACCACCCAGGCATGCGAGACATGTCTTGGGAGGGCTTCAGTAACTCGGCCACCTGTTTGCCCGGTCAGGTCGCTAGTATCTGCACAGGAATTGCTGCCTTGATTACGGCATCCGAGGCATTTTCTTCATTCGCGAGACCCAGCTTCCAAGCTAGTCCCGGCTCGGAGAGTGGCCTCGAGAGTGGCCTTGAGAGTGGCCTTAATTGGAACAGCCCAATCTTGGAGCTGTATCGTGCTGCAAATGGCCTTAGGACGGGGCCCGAAAGAATCCGTCATGAGGATGGTACATCTTGCTGGCTCTGCAAGGGACCGCCGTGCAGAGTGGACGACAACGGTGATATCAACGATCCCAATGGACTCGCCGTCACCTTGTTTCCGCACCGAATGCCAAAAGACGCAGAAGACGCGAAGGAAAACATTCAGCGCCTCCGCCTTCCTTTGAGCAAGAATGATGGCGGCGACTGGAAAGTCAAGGGTGGCGACTACGTAATTCCTGCAGTCGAGATTGCACGTTCTTCGACGAATCATTGTCATCCATGTTCATACGAGAAATTCGATGACATCGGCCTGTACGACAACTACTTGAAGACGTCCAGAATCGCCTATCGTATCGAGTATACGAATGCAGACGAAAACCTCGAGACCAGATACTTGACGCCAGACCTCTCTGGGAGCCATGGTACGAAAGAACAGAGAGACTCTATGGATGGGAATTGGGTCCAGGCAATGGCCGTCCACGCGACATTTGAGGATGAGTGGAAAAGGAGACCCAAAGATGTCCCGGGATCCCTCATAGATGAGTGGCCGATCAGGCTTCACAAAATCGAACCCAATTTCTTCACGGAGGGACTGAGGGTTGCTATTCCCATGAAAGTAGAATCGGAGCGGCTCAAACGGCTTCCCGACAGGAAGAGAAAGAAGCTACGGAAGAGTAATTTTGAAGCCAAGTGGTTTCCCAGTGGCGAAACAAATTGGCAGCAGCCATTCGCTATTAAACAAAATAGCACTTCTCAACCTTTAAGAGGCTGGTCATACTGAGAAAGTAGGCGATGGCAATGTCAAGTGTAAGGAGATGGGTCGTTTCGTTTATGACTCAATGACGGCTCTTGATCCCGAGGAGGATATTTAGGGCGAAAGAAAGGACCAGACGGTTGGGAGATATGCGACATCTTTGACTACCTTAGCAGAGGCCGCTCTCGCGCTTTGAGGTCAATTTCATAGTCCCCTCGCGCGGTGGGTACACTTTGCAATCGAATGTGCTTGTGAAAATCACCGATTCGAGTATCTAGTTTAATCTCTTGGTTTCAAGAACTCGACTAAAATGCATTTGCGAGACTGCAATCATTCATACCCGAACAGCCGTCCGGGCGGTGGTCATCTCGAGGTTCCGAGCCCGATTCAAGACCCACTTATTACGGGAATATCTTTTGGTCAGGGCCGGCCGATCGGCCGGATAAGTGGGACCATTTCTTTTAATAGGCCCTCTCTACAGAATATCCGTGCCTCCCTAAGGTACCTCACCTAGTACCTATGTTACCATTCCTGTTGGTGTCGCCAAAATTTCTGTCTTTGCCTCCACCTTTGGTTGCTTAGTTGTTGTTGGGTACTGCCGTCCTTGGGAGCATCAGGTACGAATACGTACCGAGAAAATATGAGGCAGAAACAGGATAGGGGACATTGCGGATAGCAAGAGGAGGGACAGGAGGAACTGGAGGAACAGAAGAAGAAAAACCCGCAATGGTGGGTTTGATTGGGCTGCCATGGCAACAAAGGCTGCCCTTTGCGCACCTGCATGCAGTGTTCACCACCTCACACACCACCAATCCTCAGAATAGTTGCGATAGCAGCCTGATTTCCCACATGAGTGAGTTCCTTTTGCCTAGCTATAGCAGTCTGCCTGAATGTTCCTCTCAATGCTGCAGCCCCTTGCGTCACATCCTCGTCTTCGCCGCCGCATTCCTTGGCTCTCACAGCCCAACCGACGTTGCTCACATCTCCTGTCGACTTCAATTGTTGCCTTCTGATTGCTTGAAGTTGATGTGTCTGACTAAGGTCCAGAATGGAGATTCGAGATGGTTGTGGTGGATAATAGATGCTTCATGAAGAGTCGCTGGGTCCGGTCGTCGGGCCACGCGGTGGCCCAGCTGGATGGCCCAGTCTGGATGATATCACCTCACCAGCGATGGAAATTCTCTTTTCTGGAGCGGTGTGGATTCGTGGACGAGAGGGGAAAAGTAGAGGATACCTACACAGACCAGTTTTAAGGCGTGCATGGGAGCCAAGCCAGGGTACTGCGACAAGGGACGCAAACGGGCTGCCCCTCCATAGACTTCATGGAAGGTTATGATGTCAGCGAATCGCCTTTCGCAGAATCTTTCTCACGTCGTTGGAATCGCCTTGCGAAGCGCTGGGGAATTGCCTCGAATCCTGGAAAATTGGAAACTTTGCCTCCTGGAGAGGCTGAAAAGGCCCTAGTCCCGAATTAATCCTTGTAGGGGTTGGTAGAAAATTTCAGGCGTGTTCGAGAGGCTCCTGGAAGTATCCCCAACTGGGCCGCAGCGATTGTGGTACCCCACCAATTGAGGGCAGGTGGAAGAGGAAAGAACCATTTCGAATTTTTGCGGGGCACTGAGTCGCTCCTGCCTCCTACCTGCGTTCTACCTTTTAAGAATCCAAACACCAACTCTTTGCATCTCTCGAATCCTCACTCTTCACGAAATCCATTCTCCTTCTTAATACCCATCAGAAATCAGAAGTGTCTAGCGCATTTCTTTTTCCACCCGATTCTTGATCACTGATATCAACTCTACCGGAATACAACTACTCCCGGTTACGCGCACGAAGATACCCCTCCTTCACACGCAAACTCTCAAAACACCACAACTCTTCTTCCACACATCACAACCATCACAATGGCTTCCGGAGGCAAGGCTGTCGGTATCGACTTGGGTACTACCTACTCGTAAGTTGTTCTTTCCCTCTTGCTCTCTTTTGCCCCTCCTCCCCTTTCCTCCCGCACCCCATGCCACCATCACAGGCAATCGGACGAACATTCACTAACAACATCCAGATGCGTCGCATACTACTCCAACGACAAGATTGAAATCATTGCAAACGACCAGGGAAACAGAACGACACCTAGTTTCGGTACGTACCGATCCTGAATTGCCGTTGAATTGCTGACCTTTTGCTAACTCTATTCGCAGTTGGTTTCACCGACACTGAGCGTCTGATCGGAGATGCGGCCAAGAACCAGGTCGCCATGAACCCCCACAACACGGTCTTCGATGCCAAGCGTCTCATTGGCCGCAAGTTCCAGGACTCCGAGGTCCAGGCCGATATGAAGCACTTCCCGTTCAAGGTCATCGAGAAGGGTGGCAAGCCCAACATCGAGGTCGAGTTCAAGGGCGAGACCAAGACCTTCACTCCCGAGGAGATCTCCGCTATGGTCCTGACCAAGATGCGTGAGACTGCCGAGTCTTTCCTCGGTGGCCAGGTCAACAATGCTGGTAAGTCACATGTCCCAACATCACTTCAAGGTCACAGACTAATATAGTCCAGTTGTCACTGTCCCCGCCTACTTCAACGACTCCCAGCGTCAGGCTACCAAGGACGCCGGTCTCATTGCTGGCCTCAACGTTCTTCGTATCATCAACGAGCCCACCGCTGCCGCCATTGCCTACGGTCTCGACAAGAAGGCCGAGGGCGAGCGCAACGTTCTCATCTTCGATCTTGGTGGTGGTACTTTCGATGTGTCCCTCTTGACCATTGAGGAGGGCATTTTCGAGGTCAAGTCCACCGCTGGTGACACTCACTTGGGTGGTGAGGACTTCGACAACCGTCTCGTCAACCACTTCGTCAACGAGTTCAAGCGCAAGCACAAGAAGGACCTGTCCTCCAACGCCCGCGCCCTGCGCCGTCTTCGCACCGCCTGCGAGCGTGCCAAGCGCACCCTGTCCTCGTCTGCTCAGACCTCCATCGAGATCGACTCCCTGTTCGAGGGTATTGACTTCTACACCTCCATCACCCGTGCTCGCTTCGAGGAGCTCTGCCAGGACCTGTTCCGCTCTACCATCCAGCCCGTCGACCGTGTCCTCACCGACGCCAAGGTCGACAAGTCCCAGGTCCACGAGATCGTCCTGGTCGGAGGTTCCACCCGTATCCCCCGTGTCCAGAAGCTTATCTCCGACTACTTCAACGGCAAGGAGCCCAACAAGTCCATCAACCCCGATGAGGCTGTTGCCTACGGTGCTGCCGTCCAGGCCGCCATTCTGTCCGGTGACACTTCCTCCAAGAGCACCAACGAGATCCTTCTTCTCGATGTTGCCCCTCTGTCCCTCGGTATCGAGACTGCTGGTGGCATGATGACCAAGCTCATTCCCCGCAACACCACCATTCCCACCAAGAAGTCTGAGGTCTTCTCCACCTTCTCCGACAACCAGCCCGGTGTCCTCATCCAGGTCTACGAGGGTGAGCGCCAGCGCACCAAGGACAACAACCTTCTTGGCAAGTTCGAGCTTACCGGCATTCCCCCTGCTCCCCGCGGTGTTCCCCAGATTGAGGTTACCTTCGACCTTGACGCCAACGGAATCATGAACGTCTCCGCCGTCGAGAAGGGTACCGGAAAGTCCAACAAGATTGTCATCACCAACGACAAGGGCCGCCTTTCCAAGGAGGACATCGAGCGCATGCTTGCTGAGGCTGAGAAGTTCAAGGATGAGGATGAGGCTGAGGCTCAGCGTGTCTCTGCCAAGAACGGCCTCGAGTCTTACGCCTACTCCCTCCGCAACACTCTCAGCGACTCCAAGGTCGACGAGAAGCTTGAGGCTGACGACAAGGAGAAGCTCAAGACTGAGATCGACACCATTGTCACCTGGCTCGACGAGAACCAGCAGGCTACTCGCGAGGAGTACGAGGAGCGCCAGAAGGAGCTCGAGGGTATTGCCAACCCCATTATGATGAAGTTCTACGGTTCTGCTGGCGGTCCTCCCGGTGCTGGTGGTGCCCCTGGCGGCTTCCCAGGCGCGCCCGGCGGTGCTCCCCCCGGCAACCACGACGACGGCCCCACCGTTGAGGAGGTTGACTAAATTGATACCCTTGATGAATTCTTTCCTTAGAGTCCGAGTCATGGGTGTGGCACCGAATCGGCTGCTACTGGGTTTCACGACTAGACTTTTGCTTTCTTTGCATTTATGAAATCACGATGGGAAAAGCACGGTTATGGGTCAGAGATGTATTCTAGCTAGACTCCGCGGTTTAGGAAGTCTAATACAAAACAGTAAAATTATTTTGTCCGTTCATTCATGCTTGTGATGTGCACTCATACTTGGATAATATGCTATGACCATGCCACTGAATGATGAATGAAAATGTAGTGATGTAGTAAAATGGCTTCACCTTGCCTGACCGCAAAAAAATGAGAAGAGATGAATTCATATTGTACAATTACATCATGCCGCTGGTTCGATGCCGAGACCCTGCCTAATCTGCTTCCGCCTCTCAATCTCCATCCTCTGCCACTCCTCGTCATTAATTGTGGGCTCCTCCAAACTCTCCGTAAATGCCATGCCTGGTGGGACCTTGGTGGTCCTTGCCTGCCAAACGTCCTCACTGCTTGGCTTGCCATCTCCATACTTTTCAAACTCCTTCTGACGATAATGGTCTCTTATGGCATCCTCCTTCATCTTTCCTGAGTAACTCTTGATCCTCATGCAAAACCAAAAGTCATCCCAGTGTTCGCTGCAAGAGCGCATCGTGCCGTATCGGTAAATACTGTTCCACTGGCCGCCGACGGACTGGCAGTGAAAGGCCATGTCAAACGCCTGGCGGCAAGACATCTCTGTCGGAAGGGTCGACTCGGCCACGGGGTTGTCGGAGGGTGGCGTGATTGCACGGTTGCTCGTCTGAGAGGGGGAGTCGGGCGAAGATTTGAGGGAGAACCATGATGAAGAAGACGATGATGGCTTGGACGGTGTGGAGGATGATTGTGCTGGCGCTGACGCCTTTTCTTCTGGCTGACTGCCCGATTCGTTTTGGAAAAGGGCGAGGAACTTTGCAATCTCGGGATCGATCTCGGAATCAGTCGTCTTAGTCGAGGATGGCGGGGTCGAAGCGGGAGCCTGTGAAGCTTGTCCCGGAGCGGGAGTCTTGGGGGGGGATGGTGAAGCCCAGAGCCAGCCCATTTTGAAGAGTTTTTGATACTGAACAGGAGAGAGCGTAAAGAATCGGGTAAAATCCCAAGGTGATATCGTCTTGGACAGGTTAGACGCAGTCGAGAATGAGGGGAAGTCGGCAACCGTTACCATCAATGACCTCCAAGACGCCGCGTCTAGCCAATGAGTGGTTGCATGATTTTTGCCATAGCTGCGCGTGCTCTGGTGGGGCGTCGTCGGTTCGGATAAGATATCGTCCGTTTCGAAACTTAAGGTTATGGGGCGCGTTGGACCGCGCGGGCCTACAAGTGGGGCCGCAAAGCGTGACATCATCCCACACGAACACCGGGGCTGACTCTCGTGAAGAAGGAGCTAAGCAGCTCTGGTAAGGTGAGTTGAGGCAGGCAAGCTAGTCGGTTGCCTTGATTCTCTTCCATTGCCTTCCATCCAGCTGTTCTCAACGTCCCGTCCGCAAACTCAATTCCACCGCCGCTTGTCAAAGCAACATGTGAGTCTGCATCGACATCCATCCAATGTTACCTACCAGAGCGCTGCTTCGCTCCGGCATGAGGCCTGCGCCTCGGCTGCAGATGACATGGGGCCCGCACCGGCCATTTGCTCAACCCCAGCGACATGGAGCTATCGTGCGCGCCGCGTCCAAGGCATGGGAGAGCACCGTAACCGGCGAGGAGAAGTCTGGGCACATCGCCACTTCGGAGAGCGAATCCATTCTCTTCTTTGACAGTAAGAATCCTGGTCACCCCTTCTCTCAGCGGAGCTATTCCTGCATCTGACCCAGGACCTCTCGTCCCGGGTTTGTTCCCTACCCTCTCCCAATTTTGACCTTCTCCGAGCATCAAGTGTCGTATCGATGCCCTTCACTGTCTCCATTTCTCTCCTCAGTCACATCCCCTGCCCTCTTCCCACTCACGGTCTCGTCCTCTTCACCCCCACCACCCTCGTGCCCCTTGTACAATGTCCATCTCGACCAACGCTCGCGCGAGAAAATGATACTGATAATAGCTGGTAGACCTCTTTCCTCTCAAGCTCACCTATCTCCTTCGACGGTCATGGCAGTCAGACCGTGACCTGACTGACCTTCTCAAACGCTTCGATAGCTCTGGCGGAGGCCTTGGCACCGACCCAATCAACCTAGTAAAACGAGCGATCCCCAACGACCTCCCGATCAAAGTCACAGAGATCCTACCACGACTCAAGGACGGAGGAGCTTTCGTAAAATTCAGTCATGGCTCCGACGTCGTACCAAAAGACATTGAGAGTGAGTCTTAACCTCTGTCCAGTCCGCAATGACTCCTTCGTCCCTGTCTAAACTGGACTCCTCAACTCATGTAAATGCGTGACTGACAACCCACAAGCATCGCTCGCTCGTTCGCTCGAAAAAAATCCCCTCAGACCATGGTTCAACCCCTTTCGTGGGGTTCAGGCAGGATTGGTCAAGGGAGTTCCTTGGCTAGAGGACCTCTACCGGTTTCCCAAAAGTCGTGTCAAGGTCGAATTCACAGGAAAAGATGCAGGCGGCGAGGCCGTCGAACTCTCACAGGAGACCCTATACAGTCTGTTCCGCAGATACGGTAAAATCGCCGAGATAACATCACAGCCCTCCGACTCGAAGACTCTTCCAAAGTATGCCTACATCGACTTTGCACGCGTCCGCGACGCCATCATGGCGAGAAACTGTCTTCATGGATTCCTGGTTGACGAAGGTCTCGGTGGCGGAAAGATCGGCACAAGGCTTCGCCTATCCTATGAGCAAAAGGTCAAACCGCACAACATCTGGAACTGGCTCACTAGCCATCCCAGGGTGGTAATTCCCGTCGTTGCCGCCCTCCTTGCTGCCATCACAGTGGCCATCTTCGACCCCATACGCGAATTCTTCGTCAAAGCCCACATCCAACATTCTTTCCGATTGAGCAACAACAAATTCTACCGATGGATCAAGAGCCAGACTTCCGATATTTTCTCCTCATTTGGGCACAAGAAGGCTGACAAGGCCGGATTCAGTGCAGTTTGGCAGCATCGCCGAGACCTTATTGAGCAGATTCAGACTTGGCTCCTTGAGAGCTCCGACACTTTTATCGTTGTTCAAGGCCCCCGGGGTTCAGGCAAAAAGGAACTCGTCTTGGACCAGTCACTCAAAGGCAGGAAAAATGTTTTAGTGATCGACTGCAAGCCGATCATCGAGGCAAGGGGCGAAAGCGGGACCATCAAACACCTAGCTGCCGCCGTGGGCTACAAGCCGATCTTCGCTTTCTTGAACAGCATTAGCAGCATGATCGATTTGGCAGTTCAGAGCACGACTGGGGTCAAGGCTGGCTTTTCCGAGACACTGGAGTCGCAGGTGGTCAAAATTCTTCACACAACCGCAGAAGCCCTAAAGGAAGTCTCTCTCGCCGGACGCGACAAGGATGGCAAGGATGGTGACCTTTCAGACGACGCATACTTGGAGGCCCGTCCAGACAAGCGGGCTGTTGTGGTCATTGATAACTTTTTGCACAAGAACGAAGGCTCGAGCCTGGTCTACGACAAGGTTGCGGAATGGGCTGCGGCCATGGTTCAGAACAATGTCGCCCACGTAATTTTCTTGACAGACGACACCTCTTACTCAAAGTCACTTTCGAAGGCGATGCCGGATCGCGTCTTCCGCCAAGCTGCTTTGGGCGATCTTTCCCTTGATGTTGCCAAGAAATTCATCATTAGCCGTCTCGAAGAGGACGAAATCGAAAAGGTCCGAGAACAATCTAAGGAGGCAGAGGAGAAGGAGGACAAGCCTGAGCAACACCAAAAACCCGATCTCTCGGAGCTGGACTCGGCAATTGGAATCCTTGGCGGCCGTCTCACAGATCTCGAATACCTTGCTAGACGCCTAAAGGGTGGCCAGAGCCCGCAGCGGGCCATCGAGGATATCATCAACCAGAGCGCCACTGAAATCGTCAAGATGTACCTTTTGGGTGGCAAGGATACCGTCGAGGGCAAGAAATGGTCCACCGAACAGGCATGGTACTTGATCAAGGCGCTTGCTTCTCACGATGCCCTTCGATACAACGAGGTTCTCCTGTCCGATACATTCGCCTCTTCCACTACCCCCGGTGCCGCGAACGGCGAGTCGGCCTTGGAAGGACTCACAAACGCAGAGCTCGTTACGGTGGAGACCTACAACGGTCGGCCGCAAACGATCCGTCCTGGAAAACCGATGTTCCAAGCAGCGTTTAGTCTCCTGCTCGACGATCGCGTTCTGAGAGCCAAGATGGACCTGGCTCTTTTGAAAGAGCTTACCAAAGTGGAGGCCAAGGTCATTGAAAAGGCCGAGGGTGAGCTGGCTCTGCTGGGCAGTCTGCCAAAGCAGCCTGCTCAGACTGGGTCTCGAGTATCTTATCTACTCGAAAAGCTTGAGGGCAGTCAAGTTAAGATTACAAAGTATGAGAAGGAGATTGCAGCGCTCAAGACAGTTCTCAAGCACAATTACTGAGGCATCTTGTGTTTGGAAGTTCAAACTCAGCATCAAATCCCAGACAGAGAACGGCCAAAGACTATATATGATGTCGATACCCTTCTCAATATCCTAGCTATGCCAACTTACTCATCACCATCCAGATCTATGCCTGTCAACCACCACTCGTTCTCACTTCTACTGCCGTCATGTCGTCGCCGTCAATATATATAGCGCGGCCAACTATCACAATTTACGCTCAAGTTCTGCGTTGTAAAGGAAGCAAAGTAGCATGCTATGAAAGGCGTTAACATCACAGGACGCATGAATTACTTGCCCAGATGATCCTCAATCAACAAGATTTCGGCTGCCTTGAGGAATTTGCAATGTTCTATTCATTTGAACACTCTGATGCACAACTAGAAGTATCGTCTCTAGTACCTAGGTATGGGTGATACAGGAAGGTACGTGCCTCTGTACCTTACGTAGTCAGTGCACTTTCCAGTGGACCTCGGAGTCCTGGAACTTACGGCCAATGAGACGCTTGACATCGAAGACCGCAGCGTTGTGGGGGTTCATGGCGACCAGGTTCTTGGCGGCAGCTACGACAAGAAAGCTGCTCATGATCCTCAGTGTCGGTGAAACCAACTGCGAAAAAAGTTAGCAAAATATCAGCAATTCAACAGCGA